TGTTTTACAGACTCTGAAGTAATGAGTGGTTTTTAACTAGAGATTTGATCTGTTTATATTGCATTTAAGACTACAAAGTTTAAGAGCATTTTTCATGGATTGGAGGTGGGGCATGTACTGGGGGAACCTGTTAGGGAGAAATAACAGCACTTTGGAATAATGCAAGGAAGAAGCACTTGAGCCTAGTCTAAGATGGGTCAGTCACTTGTCAATGAGTTTGCGAGTGAAAGGGAAGCTATTTTGAGTTTAAAAGGCCACTTCAGGAACTGTAAAGGGTGGTTTATATAATACATTTGCAACTGAATTTACTGTCCATTGAAAGGAGAAAACCGAAGAGAAAAAGTCTGTACCTGTTTGGGGGTGGGGAGGGGCAGCACCGAATGCATTTGCTTTTAGTTCTGAAACTGTTACCATAGGAGAAACTTGCGCTGATATGTATTTATATGAAAATGAAAGTTGAGTGGATCTGAGTCTGAGTTTTTATACAACTTGTTATAAAAACTTCTTTCCCAGTGTCTTGTCTCATATCTTTTCAAGAGTATTTGTATTCTAAGAAAATCTGGATTAGTCTGCACTTGCCTAATGGTTGGAATATTGAGAATCACAAGCAAATGGTCGGGGAAACCTTCTTTCCAACTCAGTCTTGTTTAATTTGGCATTCACAGGCAGGTGCTATACTACTCACTTCACACATAATTCAGAAGGGTTGGTAGTCCACCATGATCTAAGAGATTCCTGACATGACCAAGGCACCAAGATTAGTCTTGTCTTTAATGATACTTTGTTTTGTCTTGTACTTTGCTCAGTATTTTCATTTACTAATATCATTGGTCAAGGGCACATTTTTGGGAGGTAGAGACTGAGATTTAGACCAGTCTTTTAATCCCATCTCATTCTTTTTCCACTGTTTGTTATAAGATTTTAAAAAATCTATGGTAATATTTTCATTTTTTTTTTAGGAGTCAGGGTCTTGGTCTTTCACCCATGGAGGGAGTGCAGTGGGAGCTCGCTGCAGCCTTGAACTCTGGGCTCAAGCGATCCTCCTACTTTGGCCTCCTCCCAAAGTACTGAGACAGACATGAGCCACTGTATCTGTCCTTCCATGAATAATACCTCTCATGAATATATTTTTTAAAATGCAATACATGGTTAATTAGGGAAATATATAAATGTGAATTCTAAGGAGGAGGTTGCTTTAAAGTAGACAAAAAGTCTTACTGTAAAGAGCAATGATAGCTAGTACCTTGGTATCCTTAAGATTTTGGAGAATGTATTTTTAAATAAAGGGAAAGTAGTAAAATGGATGCTGGTTTAAGACAGAGTGGAATTAATGTTTATTTTTGTTCATTTCACAAAAAGAGCATATCAAGTGTCAGCAGCAAAGTACGTGTGAATATACTTCTGCTCTCATGTTCCCAGCATTGCAAATTGCAGTTTTTTGATTGCCTGCTTATGTGCCAGGCCCTGAGGCTTGGTGCTTGTAATAAACTGTCGGGAAGCAATGTAATACAGTTACTAAATAGTGCAGACCTCTGCCATTAGCTTGTTATTTAACCTCTCTCAGCCTTAGTTTGCTCATTGATAAAATGTTGAAAGATTTTACTGCTGGATGCATACAATCTGTTTTTGTTATAGAGATTGCTATCTTTTCACTGAGAAAAGACATTTTTTAAAATGGAAGACATCCTACATGACTTGTCATTTAGTTCTGGCCATTTGAATATTACATGCCACAGGTGTACCTGCCACCAGTCAGAAAAATAGCTGTCATCTTGTGAAACCAGTGTGGTGTTTGTGTGTGTGTGTGTGTGTGTGTGTGTGTGTGTTTTAGACAAGTGCAGTAGTGAGAAGAGGGGTAAGGAAACTAATGTTTGAATCAGTCTTCAGAAAGGATTTGTGCTGTTTGCCAAGAAATCTTAGCCCTTTTTTTGCTACCTTTAAATGAAGCTTAAGATTCCCATAGGAAGATATTTGATATCACAAAAGCAGGTGTATTAGAGTTTATTTTGTAATCTTGTAATTTTAGAGAAAAAGATGATGACCAAGAGTTGCTATCATGCTTCCTAATGAAGCAAAATTTATTCATGTCAAGTAAATGGTTGGTTGTCTGGCTTCTATTCCATTCACATCAACATCTCTAATAATGAGTTACTAGGTGGTTTAGCTGGTTTTGAATAAGGTAAGCAGTGACATAATATATTGCGTCCTGAAAGTTAAGCACACTATTGTCAAAAGATTGTCAACTTGGAAGAACTCACCGGTTATTGAGATTTGTTTTTGATATCAAGAACCAAGTAGTTGGTGCCTTTCAAAAGAGACATGAGACAAATACACTTGCAATTTATTTCGTAAGGTTTTGGCCAAGAAGGTCTATACTTGTCCATGTAGAATTAGAAATCACAAGTTCTAATATAATACTTTAGGGGTAGGGTAGGAGATAGGAAATGCCTCTTAAGAATTGAGGAAAGCCTTCATCAGTTCACTATAGAATTTTGCATAAATAGAAACCTGTATTTGAAAACCCACTCGGCAGAACTGTGAGAAATGTCCTTTGAACAGACTGCATTTCAGAATGATGACTTTTTAAAAAAAGATAGAGAAGTCTAGTGAAATTGAATAATTGTATTTTTTATTTTTATTTCAATTTTGTTGAGACAGGGTCTCACTCTTGCCGGGACTGGAGTATAGTGGTGTGATTGTAGCTCACTGCAGCCTTGGACTCCTGGGCTCAAGCCATCCTCCCACCTCAGTCTCCTCAGTAGCTAGGACTAGTACATGCCTGACCAATGTTATTTTTTGATTATTGAAATACATTTAACTTTAAGAAAACAAAACCACTAAATTTCAATTAAATATTTTCAGTTCATGATAGGTTTTAGTTTAATTGTAGACCAAAAAACCAAATTATTCTTCAGATACCATGAATTAAAACTAAACTTTGTTTAGTGATACAAGTTGCCAGCAACTTGTATCACTATTCAAGCCAGCATTTAACTATAGTATATATATATCCCAAAGTGCTGGGATTACAGGCTTGAGCCACCATGCCTGGCAAACAATATTTTAAAAAGCCTTTTATTTATCATGCATTATGATAAATACTGGGAAAATACCTAAACAGTATCCATACTGTTCTTAAGGATTGGGCAGAGGAGTTCTGTATCTATTTACTGTTCTTTCCACATTAGATGCTTGTTCATTGTTCTGGCTTCTAACCCATTTATTCTAAGCAATAATGCTACATTCTACTTAATTTCACCTTACAGAGAAAAGAGAAATCAACAGCCTGGTGGAATATCCTTAAGTTTTGGCTTTAACTCTGTCCTTAAGTTTTGGCTTTAACACTGATTCTCTGCTGTCTCTCTTAAGTACCCAGACCTGTGCCCCTATATCGCAAGACTCCTTAGGAATGTTACACAATGGTTAATTCCTTCTCTTCGCAGCAATATCTTTAGTATCTTTAACTTCTCCCTTTAGTGACTCCTTCCTGTCAGCATTTAAATATGTAACTTTTGGCCAGGTGCTGTGGTTCATGCCTGTACTCCCAGCACTTTAGAAGGCCAAGGCAGGAGGATTGCTTGAGCCCAGGCATTCAAGACCAGCCTGGGCGACATAGTGAGACCCTGTCTCTACAAAAAATTACAAAAATTAGCCAGGTGTGGTGGTGTACACCTGTAGTCCCAGCTATTTGTGAGGCTGAAGTAGGAGGATCGGTTGAACCTGGGAGGCAGAGTTGCAGTGAGCTGAGATTGTGCCACTGCACCATCTCACTGCACTCCAGCCTGGGTGACAGAGGGAGACCCTGTCTCCAAAAAAAATGTAACTTTCACTTTCTTAAAAAGAAAAAATCATTACCCTATTTCCTATACTTCCCTTTTATAGTTAAATTTCTCAGAAAGATTGTCAGCATTTTTTCTTAATTGATCATCATCTTTTCACAACAGACCACTCTCGTTTTATCTGCTTGCCCACCTACTCACCAGTATCGCTCAGTAAGATTACCAGTGACATCCTAGGTGCTTATTGAATGAAAGTGATGTCCATTTTTAGCATTCATCTTGAATTCTAGGGAGCGTTGACAAAGTGGACTACTTTTCCCTTAAAGGTTTTTTATATATTTTTTTGTAACTCATTAAATGTTAGGATTCTTCAGTGTACTTAATCTTTTCTCACTGTCTCATCTGTTTCACTCCCATGGTTTTATTTGCCATCTATATTCTGTATTCTGACAGTCAAACTTTTTTTTTTTTTGAGATGAGGTCTCACTCTGTTGCCCCAGACTGGAGTGCAGTGTTGTGATTTCAGCTCACCGTAGCCTCTGCCTCCTGGGCTCAGGCAGATCCTCACACCTCAGCCTCCCAAGTAGCTGGGACTACAGGTGTGTGCCACCACACCTGGTTGATTTTTGTATTTTTTGTAGAGGTGTAGTTTTTCCATGTTGACCAGGCTGATCTCAAACTCCTGGCCTCAAATGATCCGCCCACCTCAGCTTCCCAAAGTGCTGGGATTATAGGCCCGAGCCACCACTTCAGTCAAGCATTCTAGCTTTAATTAGTGTTATCCACTTATGAACCAATACGGATGCACCAACAATGTGTTTTATACATCTAGTACTTACTGGTTAGTACTAGCAGTATTGTTTGAGTGTCAGTTACCATAATTGTAACACTTGGCTTGTTACATTATCCAATTAGATTCCTAGATCACATCTATGATATAAATTAGGGAGAAACTAAGGCACTTACTTGGTCACGTAGCCTGTAACAGAAACAGGAGTGGCATGTAATTCACCCTGGTTCTACAGCCCATTCGTAACCAGTACACTGTACTCACTGTACATGTCTTAGGCTTCTGTGAGCCTTGTAGTATTGAACACAGTAGATAATTCAGTACTTACAGATGGTACTTTTTATTTAAGAAACAGTTCCAAGAAAGAGTGGTGTTTTGGGTGGTGGCTATGGTGTGGTTTGTAGATAAATTTTTCTATGTTTCCTTTTCAGATTTAGATGGTGCTCTACTCTCGGGGCCAGATGGTGATAGGAATGTGAATGCAAATTTATTGGCTGAAGCTGGCACTAGTCAAGATGGAGGTGATGCTGGTAGGTACAGTAAGATTTTAGCAACAGTACATTTAAGATTGGGAAGTGTTACATCTTACCTGCAGCCTACTGTAATTTCTCTCCCATAAGGGGGTTCTGTTGTATATAACTACTCTCAATCTATGTAAGCTGTGTTTATGATGACGTTGGAAAATTGGTAAATGCAAATTGATGTTTCTGGTTTTGTATGTTTGAGGGAGTCATTTGTTTAGTTTAAAAACTCTTACATATAAAAAGTAATTGAGTTAATATGCCTTATTAACTCAATGCTGGTATATAGATACGGAATGGAAATGGTAATTACGATAATGATTGAATTTATTTTAATTAGTTTTTATGCAAAATGGTGTAGTTAATGGCTATAGAAAATGTTGATTAGTTCTGTGTGATATCAGCAGTGCATTGGAGGAAGCTTGATGAAAATAAAAACAGAATTCATGAGTATGTTATGAATGAAATAGAATAAAAGAAAGTCAATCTTTACAGAAGAATGCCAAGCTGATAGAAGAATGATAGAATTGGAAAAATAGCTATTTTGCAACCCCCACAGGAAATAATTCAAAATCATCAGTGGATGTTAAGCCACTGTTAATGAGCTTGTCCCACTATGATTGGGTGAAAGGTTGTTGGGGAATATCATATTCACATGGTCTCAAATTATTCCCATAGATTCCCATAGATGATTTCCACTTGCAAAGGGGAAAAGGTAAATTTAGAATAAAGAGATCTGAGGAAGATTGTCATAACTAAGTGATTAAACTTCAGTGTCATTAGTAAGAGAACAAACTGAAATTAAAGGCTGGCTGATTTGATGTACTACCTGGCACACAACATTTCTTATGCAGTATTCTTGAGAAACTGTTTAGCTTGTATCTGATGACAAAGGAAAACCCAGACATCGATGTATACGACAGGTAGTCCAAACTCTAAAATATTAATGTTATGATAGACAAGTGGGGAAACCACTAGATTGAAGGAGACCAAGGAAGTAAACTAAAGTGCAGCATGGATCTTGCTTAGATCATGGGAACACAAAATGACTAAAGAGGACATTTTGGGACCAACCAGAAATTAGAATATGTAGTATGTGTTAAGTGATAAGCAATTTTAAATTTCTTATACGGTGGTTATCTAGGAGCATGTTCTAGAAGATGCATTTAGGCTTGAAGTTATGAGCATGCATGTTTTCAGATAGTGCATAGAAAGCATGTATGTGTGTGTGTACATAAAAACGTGACAAAACTAGTATTTGTTGAAGATAGATATGGATGTTTATTGATTGTTTCAGTTTTACTAGCTTTGGAATTGTTTTCAAAGTTGATGAGAACAGAGACAATGAGGTACTTCTTACAAAAAGTAGTCATGGGCTCTGAATTCAGTATGTACTGATGAAAATAAAGCCACATTTCTGAAGAAACTGCCTTAAGGTGGTTTCCCCTGACTGTCTAAAAGAATTTACAAAACAAGTTTTCAGATGTGTTGAATTTTAAAGATTTTGTTTGTACAGAAAATTGCTAACAGTGCAAGAAGATGTTATTGCACTTGCTTTCTCAGTTTTGAAATCTAGTCCAAGAATGGGTTTAGTTAGGGGTGTGTGAATTCATATGTAAAGTTTTAAATTTGTAGATCTTTGATATAGGGTTATTCCTCTTAAAGGGGACATTTAGATTCATTAGTATTTTTGCATCTGAGATCAGCCTTTGCTTGATGATTTTGATGTCAAAAACTTACATTGCTTTTTCCTTAGTTTTCTATTATGGAATAATGTACCCAGAAGGATATTATTGATCAGTAAGCACCATTTTGAAGAGCTCTATGACCTCAATGATCCTTAAGTGTAGTGAATTACAATGAGAGTACCTTTATTCAGGCCACTCTTGTAATTCCTACAAGTATTCTCTGTTGTAAGAATTAGGAGAGATGGAAGAAATTTGGGGCAAGGTTTACTTAATTTGAATTACCATTTTGTGTTCCAGATAGAGTGTTACATTCCTTGTTATCATGGATGTTGAATCTCGGATTTTCAGTTTACAAATTGTTTTAGGGATATTCTTCTGTCTGTCTTTTGAGATGGGCTCTCGCTTTGTCACCCAGGCTGGCCTGAATCTCATGGGCTCAAGCGATGCCTCCCACAGCCTCTCAAATTACTGGGATGACAGGCACGAGCTACTGTGCCTGGCCTATTTCCTTATTCTTATATGTTGTGAATAATTATAGATATTAGAACATCTAACATGTCTTTTGATACTAGTTTCCCAAGTTATTTTAAGCAAGTCAGAAGAACTTATTGGCATGTGCTAGATAACATTTATTCTACAAGTAATTGTAGGGCATATGTCTTAGACAGTAGAAAAACCAAGGCAAGTAAGATAGGCACAGTTCTTGCTGTCTTGGAGTTTGACTTTGTACTGATTTAGACAAGAAATATGGATCATAAAGCTCAAACTTTATTTAGAAATGTGAAACTTAACAGTAGGTTGACCTCCAGGCTGCCACCTCCATCCCATTCTTTATCCCTCACACAGAAATGCTTCACTTTAGGATTCTTACAGCTTACTTCCAAACACGAATTAGGTGCAACTATGATGAATTATAGTTGAATTATATGTAGCTATGGGTGCAGGGAGCTTTCTTTACATCAAAAACCGGTCAAGATATTCCAAGTGCAGCACAGTTTACAGTAATAGTAATGATGTGCAGTTTTAAAATACTTTAGAGACATTTTTACTTTGTTGGGTATTAAGACTTTCACCAAAAGGAATCTTAAGTTATCTTAATTTTTAAGAGGAACAACATGTCTGGGAACATATATGGGAAATGATTCTTAGCAAATCCATTTGGGCAAACATTCTTTACTTTTGAAACCGTGATGCCCATGGGAGGAAAATGTATTATTGCTGCTTGAGTGAACTGTATCTTGGCAAGGAGTGTTTTAGGCAGCTTAAGTGCTTTGAATTGGGAGCATGCTTATCATGGATGAGGAACAGCACAGAGGTCAGTATGGTTGGAATAGAGTGACTGAAAGGGTGGTTGGAAGCCAGGGCTCCACCAGGTAAAGCTTTGGAAGATACTGAAAGTCTCTAGCTTTTACTGTGAGGGTGGGTAGTCTTTGCAGCCTTGTAAGCTGATGGTGATCTGCCTTAAGGTAGTGTTTTAAAGAATCTGGGATTTCTCTCCTCAGAACACACTCCAGCAAGGCAACAGTGGAAGTAGGGAGACAAGTTTTTGGTGACTACTGAAGACAGTCCAGGGGCTAGAGCTCACGATTGATTGGATCAGGGTGGCAATAGTTGTGGAAGATTCTGGATATATTCCTATTGCCAAAAGGTTCCTTCCTGGTCCAAGGAATTACATTAAAGATGGAATTAAATCCAGTGGATATAATTCCCGCCCTTGCTAATCTGAAGATCCTTAGGCACATGCATTATTCTATTTTGATTCTGTCTTCTGCACGTTATTTTATTTAAGGATGGAGTTAGAAAGAAATTTCAGTGAACCCTGAGAGCATTCAGTTACCTTGCCCTAATATGTCTGAAACAATGATATAGTAATAGAACTTTAAATTTTTAATTATCTTGTGTATATTCTTTATTCTCAGTCCATTTTTCTATACTAATTAATCTTAAAATTATGTGCCTGTCCTGGGTTTGTAATAAGGAGAATATCCCATTTGATAGCTGGGCTTTAGGGTGATATAATCTCAAGTGATAGAGTAGTTAGAAAAAAGCAACTATTAGGAGTTCTGGTTTGAATATACCCATCCTTTAAAAGGGTAATTTCTTGTGGCGTCTGCACAGTTAAATGATACTCATGTTTTTTTCTCCCCCACCAGCACCTCTTTTTTTGTTTGTTTGTTTGTTTGTTTTCGTTGAGACATGGTCTCACTGTCACCCAGGCTGGAGTACAGTGGCGCAATCTTGAATCACTGCAACTCCTGGTCTCAGATAGTCTTCCCAAGTAGCTGGGACTGCAGGCACCCACCACCATGCCCAGCTAATGTTTAAAATTTTTTTGTAGAGACGGAGATGGAGTTTCTCCATGTTGCCCAGGCTGGTTGCAAACTCCTGGGCTCAAGTGATCCTTCTGCCTCAGCCTCCCAAAGTGCTGGGATTATATGCATGAGCCACTGTGCCTGGCCCATGATTTTTTTTTTTTTAAACTGAATTTCTTGTATTATAGTTGAATGGTATTTTGTTTAATTGTGATAATAAAGTAGGAAGACATCTCAATTTTAGACTAAAATACAGTTTTATTTAACTCATTAAGAAGTTCTATCATAATGCTCATAGGATATAAATATATTTTCTGTTTTCTGACTCTGATAAGAGATCTTTATTAACGTTACTAATTCAGACTTTTTACTTGTACTAGGTACTTCACATGATTTCAAGTATGGTTTGATGCCTGGTCCTTCAAATGATTTCAAGTATGGATTGATACCAGGTACTTCAAATGATTTCAAGTATGGATTGATACCAGGTGCTTCAAATGATTTCAAGTATGGATTATTGCCAGAATCTTGGCCAAAACAAGAAACTTGGGAAAATGGCAAGTATTAGTCAACTAAACAAATACAGAATTATTAAATAATTGTTAAGAATTAAAAGCTTTCATATTCTGCATTTTTTAAAAAACAAGTATCAGTAGTCCTACATAATTGCTGTTCTCAGAGATAAGAAGTTTTGATAGCAAGTTTTCTGTTTAATGTATAATAAGCACTTTGTCTTTTTTTGTTAATTCTCATAGGTGAATCATCTCTAATCATGAACAAGTTAAAATGCCCTCATTGTAGCTATGTAGCCAAATACAGACGAACACTAAAAAGGCACTTGCTCATTCACACAGGAGTGAGATCATTTAGCTGTGATATTTGTGGAAAACTGTTTACTCGAAGAGAACATGTAAAAAGACATTCCCTGGTAAGTAACTTTAAATACAGCTGATCTTTGAGATAAACTGTATTTATGTCAGTGAAGTTTAAAGGGATTTAAACAGTTAATTGTGAATTTAAGGAAGATTGTCTCCTAAATTGCTTTAAACAAAGAGTTTGACTTTATGAACTGATAGTGAGCTTTTTACAGAGAAACAGTGGTATATTCACTCATTACTAAATGTGTGGTTTAATTTGAGTGGTTCAAATGCATTCTATTATATATAATATCCTTATATTGGATTTTTCCCCCCTTCAATTAGGTGCATAAAAAGGATAAAAAATACAAATGTATGGTGTGTAAGAAGATCTTCATGTTAGCAGCCAGTGTTGGAATAAGACATGGATCTCGACGTTATGGTGTTTGTGTAGACTGTGCAGATAAATCACAACCAGGAGGGCAAGAAGGTGTAGATCAGGGACAGGATACAGAATTCCCTCGGGATGAAGAATACGAGGAGAATGAAGTAGGAGAAGCTGATGAAGAGCTAGTTGATGATGGAGAAGATCAGAATGATCCCTCTCGATGGGATGAATCAGGAGAAGTTTGTATGTCTCTAGATGATTAACTGACCTACTATACTCCTCAAGGATGCTGCATTTGGACCTAATATGAATCGACAATTTGGATTGTTGAACTTGAAGGCTTGCAAAATATGGTACATGCTGGATAGTAGTTATGTTGCTGTGAAAACTGTAGGGTCAAAGCCTTATAGCAAAAAAAATTTTTTTTTATATTTGCACAGGACTATACAGCAAACAACCATGTGGTTGGATTACATGGAGTCCCCACATATTCAGTCAGTTATCAAAGTAAAATATTTTCTATTTATAGGATATACAGTAACTATTTGGGTCCTATGAAAATAGTCCTTAAAGAGCTTACATTCATGTGCTACTTTAACATGAATGGAGAAAATCCATTTATGGAAGTACAGTGACAATTGACCCAATCACTCTGTCCATCAAACCACTCAGGCTAGTTTGTACTAGTAGAGTTTTGTTTCTATTTTTATTTTTATTAATTTTATTTTTTTTAATACAGATTTTCAGTGAGGGGCTTTTTCAACCCCATTGGTTCTATTTTCTTGTATTTTTCCATTTAATTTGCTTCATAACTTAAACCAAGTCTCTTCTAGTCTTAGGTATTATTTCTCAATTTTGTGCTGATGGGCATGTTTATAAGAACTGGAGAGGTAATTTATTGGAATGAACTAACTGACTTCCTCCATTCCCCCCTTCCTTTTTGACATGAATTTTACTACTTCACAAATGAAGAATGATGTTATGAAGTTACCGTGGCGAAGTTGACAAATACCACTAAAATGATTATGATTTAGAAGTAACTTTCTTCTGCTGCTCTAATCTGATAAATGGTTACTATATGATGTTTTCTGACATGGTATTCGGTTTTGGGTATCTGTTACTTTGGCACTATTCTTGTTTGCCTCTTTATTTTTGCCAGTGTACTATACCTCAGTCCTATTTGAAAGACCTAATTGAAAGAAAAATCATAGAAATAAGTAAAATGATTTGTTTTATAATTTATCCACCATGTCCAGTTTGGTTAGCTTGTTATGCAATATAAGTGAAATATCAGGTTTTTACCCATGTCCCTTTTATCATTAAAATTAACACAAAATGTGCATTCTCTTTCGTTTCATACTTAGCGGGATATTGATTGTTTTGAAATTATGATCAATACTTAATTTATTTTTTTCTGTTCCTTGAAGTCACTACACCTTGATACAGCCCTTCTAGTAGTCACCATGATTCAACAGTCTCAAAAATCTTACAAATAAAATTCTGAGAAGCTTTATTATTCTATAAACTAAATTCTTCAGGGTACAAAGGGTGACATATTGAGGTGAAATTGTCAGATTTACTTAGCCTGGTGACATGAATTAGCTGATTGTGGAACTCTCAGCAGCATTTCACGTATTGTTAACATGTATGGCATTTATTAGCATATTGTATATTATATAAGATTGAGGGATGTCATATTTTCAGCTTTCTTTTAAATAAAAATTGAGTATATTTTCCTATTTTATATCAGGTAACTAAATTATGCTAGTTATGTGGAAAAAATTGCAAAGATGCTTTGACAGATATAATCCCTTTGGTGCTCCATCTGATCAAAGTTGGAAAGTTGATGTTTTTTAAGAGACAAGCTTTATCATTGTCTCTGATTTCAGTAGAATAATGGTTTATTGTTAGACAATGATGTTTCTGCTTGGATAAATCAAAGATAAATTACAGTTACATGGTTAGATGCATCTTTTGTCATCTATATTGTAGTTTCTACATAACTGTAAACCTGACAGATAAGAATAGTTTCAGTTTGATTTTTGTTTAAAACAGATGAGTACATCTTAATGTTCTAGACAAATGAGTAACATGTATTTCTGGTAGAAATTAGTTGGGCAAAGATACTATGAATGAAAAAGTATTTTAAACGTAAAATGTTCTTTGTGAATATGTAAGTATAGTATAAAGATTTCTTTCATCCCATTTATTCCCTTCCTTTAAATAAACTAGTTTACAATTGGTAGATCTGTCTATATATAAATATATATTAAAGAACAAAGATATATATCTAAAAATCACCTAAATCTGCTTTATTAGACTACAGTTCACTTATTGCATAGAAACTGGACTTTGGCTTTACATTCTTAATGTACTTTTACTTTTCCTCAAGATATGAACTTACTCTCTTGAAGCTGAATTTTCTTTTACTACTTAAATCATTTATGTATATCTGGTAAATTATGACCAAATTTTTGTTAGATTGCATACAGTAAATTGAAATACACACTTGGTACACTACGGGATTGTTGTGCTTTTGTTTGGTTTTAGTTGGAAATAAGGTTTGATGTAGATGGCTTGTTACTGTTAATTTAAAATATTCTATAATTGTCCATTTTATGTTGTGTTGTGACAGATTTGGCTATATTTTTAGTCAATTGAAATATGATACTTTAAAAGTTTGTTTTTAGGTAATCCAAAGGAAAAGTGTTTATACTCTTGAATATATTAGCCTCAGCCTATATAAAAATTTCTTTGAAGTAAACATTTTACCAGAAACAGAATTGACAGATTTTTCTACTTGCTGACTGCCTAACTTATTTTGTTTCATGATCTCGAGGGACTGCCTTTTCCCATCTAGATCTTTTTAAAAAATAGTTTTAGTACTAAGGTATACTACTGGACATTTCTATTTTTTTAAGTGTATTCTTTTTCTGACTTACAGTAAAATTTCAGGAAGTTGATAGATACTAAGAACTTATGATTGGTCTCAGAGGTAACAATGAAATACTCATAATTTTGTCTGTGGAACTCTGGCAGAATTATGTTACACATTTGGCGAAGTTGTCTCTTGTAATTTATATTTTAAATGAAAAAGTATTTTAGAGCTTTTAATTTTAATGAAGGGGAAGAGTATAAACTTTCTTTCATATTCACTCTGTAGTTACAGACAGTCTCATAAATCAAGATTGTGCATTATTTCTTAGAGTTCTCAGAGACAGATACTTCCATATGGACCCCTGTTCATCTTTCTTATTTACTAGATATTTTGCTAAATTTAGCACATTAGCAATTAAGAGTTTAAAAAAGAAGAAACATTATAGGAAAGGGAAACTGAACAGTAATGAGTAGCTTTGAAATTGAGGAAAACACACTAGCTGGGTTAGGTAACAGCCATCCTAATGGAGAAGAGTGAGCTAAATGAGTTAATTCATGTAAAGTGCTTAGAACACTGGTACATAATAGGTGCATAACACATCTTAAAGTTGTTTAATAATAGATAACCAAGAGGAAAAAGAAATGAGAAAAGACAGGGGAAAGGAAGGAGAAAATAGGAAATGAAAGGATTAGGACTTCGTCATTTATATTAATACAAAATGGTGTAAAGGGCCTGAATATGACTGGAGGAGTATCATATGGGGGAAAGTGTGATGGAAAATAGGTTCTTAAAAATCTTAAATTTTAAAACTTTAGTAAGCTTTATTTATATTTTTTAGGATTTTCTGAACATAGCATGAAGGGTTTAGATTCATTTTTCTGAAAAACGATTCAAAAAACTACCAATTTTTTTTTGAGTGCCCACACTTGCCATTGTGCTGTATACCTGATTTTACCTTAATCCTCTATAAGGTAGGTGCTAATTGTCTCCATTTTATAGATGAGGAAAGGCTCAGAGAAATTCAGAAACTTGGCTAATTTAACACAGCTGTGATAGAGCTGGGGGCTTTGAGCACGTCTGATTCTGAAGCCCATACTCTTTCAAGGAGGCTCTATTGCTGCCTCACTGAACAACTCTTGTAGAATTTCAGCTCTTAATGGAGTCTATGGATTTATATTTTTCCTATAAGACAGCTGTGTTTAGAATTTTGAGTGTCTTTCCTCCCCCCAACAAATTTCCTTACTACTCTTTCCTCATAAAGCAGTTGTTTTGTCACTTTGACTATATTAAGACACATCAGTGTAGCACATGCTCTTAACCGGCTGTGGCATTTTAATTTTATAAAAGAATGGTTTTTATCTGAAGAACTAGATAGAAACCCCAGTTTTTGTGCCGTTCAGTCACCCAGATCCTTAAACTTAACGATGGTACATAATATCCACACTTAGAACTAACAGGTGTTTAGTCACTTTAGGACTTAAAATGGAAAGTTTTTTTTTTTTCCTGCTGTATCCCTGCTTTCAACTGAAGTTAAAGAATTCTAGATAGTTTAAAATGTGTTAGGGATAAGCACACTTCAAAAGATGTTTTCTAGCCCTAAATTTGATGACATTGGGTACTTAAATTTGGAGTACACTAGCTATTGAGAACAATATTTTGGGTTGAGGAGAGTGATGGTTGAGGCCATTATTTAGTGGGAGCATTGGCATTTTGAACACTGTAAACATAAAAGAACACTTCTGCCTGCTGTTTGTAAAAGCTCTTTGGGAAGATCTTTTACGAAGACCAACTTTTTAAAATGTAAATTACCTACCTAATATAAGTGTCCTAAGACATGTATGTAAACTTCCGAAACTGTTTTGTCTGTGTATTTAGAAAATACACAAGAGTCTTTATTCAAACCTAAAAATATAAACTTGTGAGCACTAAACTGCTTCTGGCTTTGTGAATTTTATTGACTGACATTTAATTCAGATTTCTTTGCAAGTGTACTAATTTAGACTAATTGGGGTAAGGGAAACACCTTAATGAACTTGACATGTATATTTCAGATATCTTTGTACTTCAGGCTTACAAGTTTGAATTATAGAATACTATAAGGGTTTTTTGTTTATTTGTATGTTTTTATATGAAAGTACATAAATGACAAACTACCTCCAAGTAATGCTGCTTTAATTAGTAGCAGTGATTTGTAATCAGTGTATCTTTTAAGATTCTCTACAGGTTTTAGAAAACATTAAAAATTCCTTTTTAATTTACATTTGTGCATAATCTTGGAAATGGGTTGAAAAGCAAAGGTAAACTGCTTCATCCCGTGTTGTATATTTGTGGACTGATTGACTACAAGTGATGTGATGTTATAAATTTCAAGTCTTTGAAATTTTATTAATGTAGAGAAAACATAACTAGCTTTTTAGGTTATTTCAAAGTTAGTAATAGAGCAAAGGAAATCAGAACTGATTAGATTATTCAGACTTTTCTTAGAAAAATAGTTCGTTGATTTTGTTTGGAGAAGGGCACAATACAGGGAAGCCTACATAGCATTATAATGCCTAGTATCTTTAAACATGTAAAGAGCTATCATGAGGCAGAATAATTAAGATACTTTATGTGTTTCTAAGGGGTCATGATTGGGACCATTGGCTCAAGATTGAAAATTGGTTTTTAATTATCCAAAGATGAAATGGGGCTGCTTCAGAAAAAGGTCTGCCACTAGAGATAACTGCGTAAAGTCAAAGAGATTACTTAGTCATTTTGGCTAAGGCAGTATTGACCAAACATTTCTATTTCAGAGTTGGATTTGTGCTTAGTTTTTTTTAGGTGTTGGGACCGTTGTAGTTACTTTTTGTTTTGCTTAGTCAACAAATAACTAAAGTGATAAAATTTTGTATGTGTGAGTACTGGACGAAGGATGTTTTGACAATAAAAATGACATAATTTAGGAAATTAAGAATTTAGACACCAACTTCAGCTTAATAGAAAAAATCACTACTTGAACTTCTTTCTTTTTCACCACAAATCACCACAGACCAGTGTTTGGGAGCAGGTATAGGAAATTGAATTTTGGATCTATGTTTAGGTAAGAAAACTAAAGGTTCTTCAGAATTTAGGCTATGACATGACTGTCTTTCTGAAGTTTAAAGAAAGAAATTGAACTATAGGAAATCTATTCCGCTAATTAAAGTGAATGAAAAACTGCATGGCGCCTTACCTGCTATTAATACTGCCACTTTACTGTCAGCCAGATTATTTTTTTCCCACCACGGCCAGTCTTAAATTTGGCAATAAGAAAAAACTAATCTTCCAAGTGTAATTAGGTATGCGTTAGAAACTTAGTGAAAGCTAAACACAAGACAGTCTTCTTGGCACAGGTCCTAACAGTTGGTGAGATAATACATAAGATGGTTTCAAGATTATTGTAGAATTACTTAGATTGAAAAGAGACTACCCAATGAAGCATACCCAGAGAGATTGCCACAGTGACTCCAGTCAGTTTTAGGACCCAGGACTCCTGAACTTCCATTTCTGTATTATTTTTCCTGTACCAAACTCATTCAATAAATGTTTGAGATTAGGGATAAGTTTGAAGTTAGAAGATTCCAAAGTACACTCAAATAGTATTTGGCACATAGCTTGTTGCTCAAAAGTATTTACTAAGTGAATGACTAAAGGCACTAGCAACTTTAAGGATTTCGCCTGTTAGTATCATATGGCATGTAGCTATCAAGCCAGTTTGGTTTAGTTATTTTGTGTTGCCAAGCATATGATACATGGTGTCACACTGAGCCTTTGGGATCCTTTGCCTGGATACATAACCCTAGTAGATAATGTTACTGCAAGATGTAATGACCAAATCCAACCTACTGCAGATGTTAGTATGGAGATCTCAATGCAAAAGTAGCCTTTGTAATTTTTTTTAAACCATCTCCGTAACAACATTTAGTGAGAATTATTAGCCATTTGCTGCAAAATATTTGTTTAAAAATGTCTGACATATACACCACTAATATTTAAATGCCCAGCATTCCGTCTATATGTGAAAAAACTAGAAGAAAAGCCCTGTTGGAGTTTTGATGTAGCGTGCAATAATACATCAATAAAAATATTTTAAAATGACCTGATGTTTTACTTGCCAATATGATTTTGGTATTTGTGAAGAGGTATGTTGGGTTTTGGCATTTATATTTTACCATATGAAAGACGTATTCATGTAAAAGGTAATGTGAAGCTTAGCATCTCTGTCAGCCTGTCCCGTTTTCAAGTAGTCTCCTTGGATATTTGTAGCATCTGGATTCCTAAAGTGAGATGGTGGCATTTATGTATTGACATGGGTAATTCTCCAAAGCAGATCTTCCCACACTAATTTTTCAAGTACTTGTCACCTAAATCATTAATAAAATGTGCCCATTCCAAATAATAGCAAATGTAGGAATTGAATCAGCATCCCAGAGTACTAGTCCTGGGCCATATCCTCATTTATAGCAAAGGAAATTTGAAGAAGTCCTAAAATGACTTTACTTAAGGTGAAGTCTAGAATTTTACATATGTAGGTATATTTTTGTTAGTCTTGCATTTGTCTAAAAATTGTTTTTTTTATTTCATAGGCATAAAGATGTTTTTATTAGAATCTTACATTAGACTGAAGACAGTGTTTTGGAGCCAGGAATCATTCTAAACTTTTATCCTGTATTTGCCTTTTAAAGGTAGCTGACATCTGTGGTGGTCTTTCATTGCTCCTGGGGACTTGTACCACACTCAAATGTGAGCTCCCGTTTCATTCTGTGGACTCTTCCTCTTTGGTCATACATGCATTCTACAGATACACATTAAATACCCACTTGTTAGGCCCTTGGATGAATAATGAGACCACAGGGTATATAGTGTTCTCAATTATTACTATACTGCAAGTCAAGTCAGTTGGGATGGGGAAAGATGAAAAATTAGACATCTGGGAAATTTTACCAAAAAGACCCTTTGTATCAATGTTTTTTTTTTTTTTTTTTGAGACAGAGTTTCGCTCTTGTTGCCCAGGCTGGAGTGCAATGGGACAATCTTGGCTCACCACAACCTCCACCTCCCGGGTTCAAGTGATTCTCCTGTCTCAGCCTCCCAAGTAGCTAGGATTACAGGCATGTGCCACGATGCCCGGCTAATTTGGAATTTTTAGTAGCGACAGGGTTTCTCCATGTTGGTCAGGCTGGTCTCGAACTCCTGACCTCAGGTGATCCGCCTGCCTCAGCCTCCTAAAGCGTTGGGATTACAGGTGTGAGCCACCACGCCCAGCCTTGTATCAGCAGTTTTTAAAAGCAGGAGCCGGTACGAGGGGTAACAGGTTACAGGATGAAGACAAATATAAAACAGTGCAGATTAAGAATGCATACAGACAGCACTTTACATTGTCCCCCTTCAACATAATAAGAGGGGAAATAATACTTTCACCTTAAAAATGCACTACAGCGTTTTGGGAAAAAGATGTTAACTCTTAATTTTGACATGTGGTTGACATTTTTGTATTAACTGATATAGAAAGATGGTAATGTTGGTCAGTTACATCTTTTTCTAGGATATATATTTTTTAAGTGCTGCTTGTTTCTATCAGCTGTATTGGATAAGTCTGTAGAATTAGAAACACTATTTTCTCAGAAGACTTGGTATATACTCGGAAACACACAATAGAGTCTGCCTACCATTTTAGGGGCGTAGATGATGGAGAGGGTTTAAAGACCTAGAGGAGTTTTCCTATCCAATAAAGCAGTTCACTAAAATTGCAGATACTTAGGTTAATGTTCATTTCACTTTTTGCAGGGTAGTAGAAAAAAAAAATCACCTTACAGGATGAAATCATAAGCTTCTGTAAGTATTCGCAAGGAAAGTGATAGCCTAAGTATCTGTATTTAATTTTAATGTGTTTTTTTAATTTAAAAAAGCATAGCATATTTACATCCTCCAAAATTATTATATCAAATGTTTAGTAAGTGTTTAAAATTCCAGTTTTCTCATTGGTTGGAATATATCATTCTGGATATGTTTCTTATTGCCTATTGTATATGCGAGTGTATTTTGCTTTTTAGTCAGGATTATTCGATGTATGTAGGAAGCACCAAACTTTCTGTAAGGGACCAGACACTTCGGTTTGGTGAGCCATAAGGTCTCCATCACAACTATTCAACTGCTGTTGTGGCACAAAAGCATCCATAGACAATATGGAAGTGAATTGTAAGGCTGTGTTGTGTTTATTTACAAAATTAGGCAACAAGCCACAGTTTGCTGATCCCTGATCTATAGGTTCCCCTTCCCCCACACCTTGTCCCTGTAATACATACATTGAAGAATGATGTACCTTCCTAACATCAACGAATTCTTCCCTTCCAGAATTACAAATCTTGAGTAGCAAAGAGACTTAACTTTAATGGCATCGTTTTAGCCGCAGAGGATTAAAAACCTTACCATTTCAGCTTTAATCAAACAGCAAGACCGTAATAGGAATTTAGTTACACCATATCTTAGTACCCAAGGTGTCCCCCCGCCCCCTCCCACACACACCCTGGCTCCTAGATGAAATAAATAATATATCTGATTGAGAAATAACATTTAAAACTTCATGAGAGGAGACTTTAACTTACTAATAAAAATAATTTGCTAATTTAGACCCTTTTGTTGCCACGTTATGTTAAAAGAGCCTTTTATTTTCAATCATGCTTCAACCTTGAGCACTATAACAGACTTTCTGTAGCCTTTCGAATGTTGGGTATCTGATTAATATCTACATTCATAACAAGGTATCACTAAATTAGACTTGTCAGTCATCCTGGGCATAGCTTGAAAATGCTAAGTTTGTGAATCAAAATAGCTTATGTGAAAAATACTTTTCCAAAAAAAAAAAAAAGAAAAATACTTTTCATCAAGCCCTCAAGAAGTTCCCAAGACTAAAGACTATCAAACTGAATAATAAACCTTTATGTCATTGTTTCAGACACACTGATTCCCCATTGGAAGTCCTAATGGAGGACTTTCTCATAGTCTTTGTGCTACCCAGTCTGGTGGAATAGTAGGCTCTCAGTAAGTACATGCCAAATGTACAAATTCAGTGCTGAGCACCACTCTTTAGAGTCAGAAAATTTCTATTTAAAACAAGTTGATCTAACTTGTTCCAAGAGTTTTCCCATAATATTAAGGCTAATATTAATCAGAAGTTAGTTTGATTCTAAGGGATATAGAAAAATTTCTGTTGTTCTTCCTGTTTAATGAGATCCTATCCCATCAGGAGGGTCAGATATAATCAGGGAAGATATATAATGGAACTCTGAGGAAAACATAACCATTTAAGATCATGTGGGCATTTCATGCACTGTCCAACCCATAGCAATCTAGACTCTGTCTTCGATATTTTAGTGAAACTACCCTTCAAAAGGCCACTAGTGACTAGTTGTCAAATACACAGCCCACTCTGCAGCATTTAGCATTATTAATGACTAGTTTCCCTCAGATAACACTCCTCTTATTTGATCCTGAAAGTATTGATATTCCCCTATTTCTTTGCTGGGTACTTTTTTTTTTTTTTTCCTTGAGGTAGGGTCACACTCTGTCACTCAGGCTGGGATGCAGTGATCTCAGCTCACTGCAGCCTTCACCTCTTAGGCTCAAGTGATCCTCCTGGCTGGGTGCTCTTTTCCCATTGTTCTTTCCATTGGTGTTATTCCGTTCCATTGATCACAGTGGCTTAAACTCTGGTAACTTTTATCCCTGATCTCTTCAGAGTTTGCAAACATGTAAATGATACCATGCACTGTTGCTTGGTGCATGAAGGATATTCAGTCACAATCCTAATTTGGGTCACAATTCTTTAGTTTCTGTTGGATGTCCTCAAGGTCTTTGGATTTACATTTTACTGTACGGAGTCTCACCATGGGCTGATGTTGCATAGTAAAGTCACTTTTAGAAAAATTATAACCTCACCTTTTCTGAAGATATTTAATGCATGCCAGCCGTGTTAACACTGTTTGATGAGGTGGTGTCTAGCTGACTTCATCATGTCTCATCATGTATGTGTCTTTGTTAACTAAAATCAATAGAATCTTAGAGCTGAAGGAATGTTACAAACAAATACCCTGTACTTTATCCGGCCTCTGCTTGAACTCATGCCATAAATGTTTACCTCCCACTTACTACCTCATATAACAGGTCGTATTATCTTGAGGTCCTATCAGTTCTTCCCTACATCGAGGCAGGTGGAAATCTGCCTCTCTGCAACTTCCACCGGATAATCATTTCATCCCCTGAAGCCACTCAGATTAGTTTGAGACTACCACATAATGATTTATGTAACAGTGGAGATTGGAAGGGAGAGAGGAGTGCTTGGGATCTTAAAATTTTTCCATGCCTAAAAAACAATACTCTAGGTTTTCTTTCTTTCTTTTTAGAGAGGATCTCGCTTTGTTGCCCAGACTAAAGTGCAGTGGCACAATTGTATTTCACTGTAGCCTTGAATTCTTAAGCTCAAATGATCCTTCTGCCTCAGCCTCCTGAGTAGCTGGGACTACAGGCATGCCCCACCACTCCCAGCTAATTTTTTTTTATTTTTTGTAGTAACAAGGTCACACTATGTTGTCCAGGCTGGTCTCCAACTCCTGACCTCATGCAATCCTCCTGCCTCAGCCTCCCCAAGTGCTGGGATTACGGGTGTGAGCCACCGCAGCCAGTCTATGTTTTCATTTCTGTAAGAATATGAGAAACCCATGCTGTTTACCTTTTTTCAATTGAATGTTTTACTTTTCAAGACTAAGAATTGAATATTTGATATGAAAAATGGATGCCCAAAAAGATACTTTAAAGAGAGGCATCAAGAATTATTTTTTTTTTTTTGTTTTTTTGGTTTTTTTTTGAGACGGAGTCTGGCTCTGTCGCCCAGGCTGGAGTGCAGTGGCCGGATCTCAGCTCACTGCAAGCTCCGCCTCCTGGGTTCACGCCATTCTCCCGCCTCAGCCTCCCGAGTAGCTGGGACCACAGGCGCCCGCCACCTCGCCCGGCTAATTTTTTGTATTTTTTAGTAGAGACGGGGTTTCACCGTGTTAGCCAGCATGGTCTCGATCTCCTGACCTCGTGATCCGCCCGTCTCG